AATATTTTATAACATAGTTATGAAAGAAAATATAAAGCTTTTCTACTTCCAGGTCTGTCGTGGATTTTTCGTGTTTGGTGGTGGATTGCATAAAACATATTTGATAGCGAAAGTGTAAAATCCACTGTGAAGCTCTGTAGCTTCATGCTGAATGATTGCTCTATTGATACAGAAGTTTGTACAGTTGTGCAGAGTTGGAGTCTCTTTAGTTTTGCATGTGATTTTTTTTTTATTTGCAACTTTTTATGTTTATATGTCAATGTGACATATAAAGCCAAGGTTCTCGGCTATTTCTGAGGGAGGGATGAAGGGGTCCTTCAGCTGCCACTTAGTCTCCCTCTTTACTATTTAAATTTCTGTTCAGAGACAATGTATTAAGTCACCATTTTAGAACATGACACCTTGTCCAATCTCTGTGACTTTCTCGCTGCGTGAATGGGACAAAAGACTTAAAGCTTGCTCTACCGCTGTTCTGTCTGTGAACTGTCTGAAGTGCTGTGAAGATTGGACTTGAAATTATTCATAGGAAGGAGTTACCAGGGTGCCGCTTACACAGTAGACGCTGAATAAATAATAATTGTTTTCATTATTAATAAGAGTGTGGGCGTGCTATGTTTGCAAATGTTCTCCCCGTGAGATGTGCAAGGCAAACAGATGACAGGTCCTTCTCTCTCAGTGGCTGCCTTGTTCTCTGCATGGGCTCTTCAGGAAGGGATCTCGAAATAGAAACACATAGAGTACCCCAGTAGTCTAACCCCACAGTCGGTGCTTACCTACCTGTCGGGGTGTACAGACACATGTTCCAGTTGCCTCTCCCTTTTAGGTAGGGGGTGCCAGAGTTAGTGAATAAAAATACTGGCTGCCTAACTACATGTGAATTTTAGGCAAACAACAAATAATTTTTGTCAGGACCATAGGGACGTATGTATTTACAGTGAAAAAGTTGTCATTGTTTCTCAGAAATTCACAGGTAACCAAGATGTCTTTGTTTTTTTTCTGCCCAGTCTGTCTCTGAATGGTTAAGGAGGGGCATAGCACGGGAGTGGGGTAGAGAAGGGTCCTAAGAGTTATAAAACAGCCACTATGGAAACTGGTCTGAAGGTTCCAGGACTGTAATCAGCTGTGCTGGTCCTAGAAGAAGGAATCAGAGTCAGAATACTCCAGCTTTGTCACAGCTTTGTCCACAGTGGCTGAGTCAGTGTATCAGCCAAGGTGCCTACTGGTGAATGGATAAAGAGAATGTAGCGTACATACGAGAGGGAAGTAGTGTTCTTCAACCATCAAGAAGGAGAGTCCATCACTTTCACAAAAATAGAAGACCTGAGATCATGTTAAGCGCTATAAGCTAGAACCAGAAAGACAAACACCACCCATTTTAGTCATATGCAAAATCTAGATTTTATTTATTTATATTTATCTTTTATTCATTCTTTGACTATATATATATATATATATATATATATGTATATATGTATATATATATATAATTTTTTTTCAAATTGTAATTTATACTCATTCACACAGGGGTTATAAACACAAAAAGGCAGGACGTGGGGAAGGGGATGACACTGGAGCGTGGGTGTTCAGGGGGAGTATAGATATTTTTCAGAACTGGGTATCGGCTGGGTGAAGGTTCAGGAGATAGGTCACTATGACTCTGCCTATGATTTACTAGTCCTTATCTAAGTTGGTAATATCTGCCAAGGCTACCTATTTACAAGGTCTATGACTACTCAGGCTGGTAAATTGTCACAAAAACTGCCTGTTATAGCCATATGTTTCAGTGTTTATCCACAGAGACCCAAGACTTGGTATTAGTATACATGTATGACAGGCCTATGGCTGATTTTAGGCCTTCAGGGTGTAAGCAGGGCTGCCCCTGACATCTCCTCCCTTCTCTAAGTATAGACAGGCTGTGGCAAATCTAATCTTTTGAAGGCGGGGATAGAGGCCTGACCTCCAGTAATTGAAGGTCTTTGACAATTTTAAATGTATTTGCAACAAGTCTTATAAACATATCAACCCCCAACTCCACCTCCTACTTTTCCAAGACATCCCCTAACACATCCCCCTCACACCTCCTAGACTGTTTTAATCTTTGACTATGAGCATGCGTGCATCTGTGTGGAGGTATGCACACATGAGTACAGGTTTCTCAGAGGCCGTAGGCATCAGATCCCCCTGGAGCTAGAGTGATGAGCCAGTGTGAGCTACCCACCTTGGGTACTGGGAACCAAACTCAACACTACTCAAAGCAAGAGTAATATACATTATTAACAACTGAGCCATCTCTTCAGCATCCTTCTTGGGCCCGGACTGGACAGTCAACTCTCCAGATCTTGCATGAAGTCTCTAAGCCACACTAGGACCCATGGGCATATCCCTGGCCCTCATGTTGCATAAAACCTGGAAGTAGGCAGAGAGTTCTGATAGTGATCCCGTGATTCCAAAACCCCAGCATTGTTGTTCCTATATACGTATTCTATAACACTGAGGTCACACACGGTTGTGGATTGCCCTGGTGCTGTTTGTACTTGATGCTAATTCCACTTCCCCCAGAGGAGCTGTCTTGGATGAGGAGTGGATCAAACACTCAGGTGATTTCACGTGAACTTTCTTCCTATTTTTAACTGGTAAAATAAAGGCTAAAGCATGTGACTGGGGAGTGGAAAGGAAAGGTGGAGCTGGAAGTTTTAGAAAGGGAAGGAGAGGGAGGAGGAGGAGAGATGAAGAGAGGAAGGAGATGAGATGGAAGACAAAAGAAGATGGAGGAAGAAGATGAACCAGAAAGAGCCGCAAGTAGCTAGGGATGTCACAGATGGGCAATAGGATAGCGTAAGGTACATATGCACAATGTAGGTGTGCAGCTTGCATTTATAAACAAAACTCAATTGAGTTTTGTGTTCTTTGCGTGGGCATTTTAGGGTTGGAGATTTAGCATTATAAATCTAGCTGGTATATTATAAGTCTCTAGTGTTATCATTTCATAGGGCTAAGGGGATCTGAGCAAGTGGTAGCTGGCTTTCTACAGGCCAGCCACAGGGGGTAGATGGCCTGGGAAGTTCGAGTGACAGCTCCAAAGACAGCCAACTGGGGCTGGCCATGGGGGTGGGCGAGACCATTGACGTCAGTGCCTAGCCAAATTTAGAGTGGTTCATTTTTAAAACCACACACTACAGGCCACCACCCTCGCCATGCTATCCTCCGTGTCTCTCTGACCCTTGCATCATCCTTGCTTTTTTTCCTTTGATCAATACTTAATCCCTGCCCCCAGTCCAAAAGGCATTGGCATCTCCCGCCTTAGTGCTCCACACCAGTGCTCCCTGTCAGGCCACAATGCTCTGAAGATGTTTCTAGAGGCAGAAAATGACGGCACTGTATGAGACTTGCCCATCGTGGAGCTATGTCCTAGTGCTACAAATAAGGGGATGAGAACTAGCATGCCAGTAATGCCCAAGGCCATGACATCACAGCCTGTACCATGGTACCCTGTAAGAGGAAGTGAGTGAATGAGTGAGTGAGTGAGTGAGTGAGTGAGTGAGTGAGTGAGTGAGAATGACCAGCCCTATGGTCATGGGCAAGTGCACTTTCAGACTATGTAGATGAAGGTTTTCCACCAGAGACGAGAAAGACCAGCCATGCTGATACCTGGGGCCAGAGAGAACAACCAACCCCTGGAGACAGCTCAGCCTCCCCAAACCCTGCAGCAGGCACAAATGCAGACAACAGCAGAGGCAAGTGGGTATTGGGAAAGGTCTTCAGACTACCAGCTAAAACTGCATCCACCTAACAAAAATAATTGAGAAAGCCTTCTTCCCGGGCCCTGCTTTTTTTTTTTTACTGTAGACAACAGAGCAGTGAACCGTTGGGTTCTAGCTGAGCCAGCTGTTGTCCTGGGAGCTTTCTCCTAATTCCTGTTCCCTGAATAGCCCTGGAGCTGAGCAAATTGCAGTTGAAGGGGCTTCGTGAACAGATTCACACATTCAAAAACCACTCCCTGCGTACCAGAGAGTGTACAAAAGTTTGACTAACTAGTCAGAGACTATGGTGACTTCCTTCCAGCGGTCTGGTGGCCAGCTTTTCAAGCTTGAGACTTGAGTAATGTATACTGATTCCAGGAAGGCATTGCGGGACTTTCAGCTAAGTTGTAGAAACAAGGTTACAGGCCTTTAACCTAAATTCAATACTTTGCAAAATCATGGCTCATACCATGTGAAAACAAGGTTACAGGCCTTTAACCCGAATTCAATACTTTGCAAAATGGTGGCTCATACCATGTGGGGATTTGGAAGAGCGCACAAGAGTGATCTGTGGAGTCTGTCGGAATTGAGTGGTTCCAGGTTCTTGGTGTCTTGTTCAAAGAATGGAAGAGGCAAACAGAATGATGGAGTAACCAGGCCTTGATTCAGATGCTAACATGCAAAGTATGGATTATATACCCTGCAGAGGACACCATCATAAAATCAATTTTTTTCATTTTCCATTTTTACATGCATGTGCTCATTCACATACGTATGTGTATTTGAGTGTGTGTACACATGCATGAGGGGCCTGGGGTTGGTTTCAGGAGTCACCCTCAATTGTTTTTCCTCCTTCATTGAGGCAGAGACTCCCATTCAAAGCCAGAGTGTGTAGTGTTGCTTGTCTCCTTAGTGAACTTGTTCTGGGGATCCTGTGTCTGTCATCTGAGGCTAGAATCGCTGCAGAATACCAAGTCTACTGGGCCTTCATGTGGGCTCTAGGGGTCTAAACTCTGGTCCTCATTTTTGTGTGGCAAAAGCATCTCCCACACCTGTCAATCACCATGTGTGCCATCAACAAGGAGCCTGATAATGAACCTGATGTGTTGGAGAACCATGTCTTTCCTGGCTGCATTAGCCTCACGCCCCAGACAGATCTCATGTCATAAGGAACGCTTAGTTTCTTCCTTCATTCTAAACTAATGACCTTGTTTTTGTTTTTGTTTTTTCTCCTGTGATCTCTCTGCTCTTCGGACCCAGGCCCTGGCGTACCCACTGTTACCGTGCATAACACCACGGATAAGAGAAGTAAGTATTGTTCCTCTTAAATCTTTCTGAGCTTCAGGAGTGAAAGCCAAGGTTTGAGAGACAGTCTACCCCACCCCCACTTGGACCCCTCTGGGAGCCTGTTCTGGCTAAATAAAAACGATCACGAGGACCAATGTGACCCAGCTGAAGCTCTGGGTCCCTGAAAATGTCTAAGATCCAGAATAACCTGTGAGTGCTGAGGTTGGGTGGCCATTCCCTGGGTACCCAGATCATGGCTGACCTTCTGGGTGTAGTTCATGACCTGCTGGATTTGGACGTCAGTCAGGAGGAGGAGGCTTCACTCTTGCCTCCTCTAAGGCCTGCTCTGAGAACAAGGCTCCATAGGTACTCAGAGGTTTATCTGCCTGCAGGTCAGAGAGTCATATCCGTGATGTGGAAGAATCATACTACAGGGTGATTCAGACAGGGTTACATGGGATAGAGAGATGGCTTAGCCATTAAAGGGTAAGGCTCACAACCAAATTAATAAGAGTTACCTGAGGATTGTTAGGACCTTGGGGAGACCTGAGGGAGGGCCATGACCGTGCCTATGACCCAAGAGAGTGACGAAGCTCAACTCCAAACACAGCCAGAGCACAGAGTAGATAGACGGGAGATCACTGAGAGCAGACAGTGGCAGGAGCTCTTGCTGATGGCCTTGTTCTTGCTGTGGTCAAGCTGAGGAGGTGGACATCAGGGGTAAGAACAAGGATGTGGTCAGACAGGCCAGGGTGATCATAAGATTCTTACTAAACTGACCCAGCAGGGGGCTCCCTGAGACTACACAATACAAGCCAAAGACTGGCCAGGGGTCAAGGTCAAGTCCCAGGTAGAAAGGTCGTGGAGGAATCTGAGTCCAGTGGGTCTTCCAAAGCACAGGACTTTCAGGATCTTCACCCTCTGAAGGAACTTGTAGGTCTTCACCACAGCACCAGGTGGAGGCTGCCACGTGCACCGTGTGTTTGAGAAAGCAGAATCCTAGATGTGGTGGATGATAAAGCTGAGAAGTAAAGGGACTGTGCCCTTCCTTGGGCCCTCCTTTCTCCTGTCCCCAAAAGGCCCCATCTCTCCTCTGCCACTACCCTTCTGACCAAGACCCCTCAGTTATATATCCTGCCCTGGAGAATCAAACATACATGCAGCTTCAGGGTCAAACGCTTGTAGCTGGATGAAGTAGATATGGTTAAAGAGACAACATGTCAAATCACGGGAGCAGTCTGCCAGCCTGGGGTGTGTTTAAAGGTTCAGAATTCTAGCATGAGTCATCAATCCAGAAGTAAGTAGGTGATAAGATTCCTTAAATGCAAAGGAAGTTGGAACTGGAGTTTGGCTTGGTTGATAGAATGCTCTCCCAGTATTCACCAAGCCATGGGTTCGGTCCCCAGCACCACCTAAACTGTGTACAGCGGCACACACATGTCACTCACACACCAGGGAATAGACAGAAGGAGGAATAGTTCAAAGGTGTCCTCGGCTACACAGCAAACTCGAGGGCAGAGAGTTGAGGCCAGCCTGAACTCCATGAGACCCTGTCTCAAAGAAGGAAGGAGGGACAGAGGGAAGGAGGCAGGGAGGGTAGGAGGCTGGGTAAGCTTCACCCTTGCCTGGGGGCTGTCCTAAGAGACTGGGAGGTTTGAAGATCTGGAGTTTCAGTACATGTTCCCTGAAAGATTCTGGTGTAACTGCTTGGTGTCACCATCTACCAAAATGCTGCCCACCCCAGTGGTCACCGTAGGGCAGAAACCTGGCTATCCGATTGAGCTACAGCTTCCAACCCAAGTGGCCTCTGTGGTCTTCAACAGCATAAGAAGTCGCTCCTGGTGTCTTCACTTAAAAATCAGGCTGCCGCACAGTCTCTGAATTGCCTCCCTTAAGAAAGCATCTGCTGCAGCTGGGGGTGATGGTGCAGGCAGGTGGAGCTCTGTGAGTTCGAGGACATCCTAATCTACATTAGAGTTCCAGAACAGCCAGACCTACATAATAAAGAGGCCTTGCCCTGCCTCCTCAAAGAAACAAAAAACAAAAAGCCCTGCGTGTAGCCAGTCGTGATGTCACACATCTTTAACCCTAGCATTCAAGAGCCAGAGGCAGGCCTGGTCTACATAGAGAGAGTTCCAGAACAGCCAGAAACACAAGAGAAACCTTGTCTAGAAAAAGAAGAGAAGAGGAAGAGGGGGAGAGGAAGAGGAGGAGGAGGAAGAGGAAAAGGGAGAATAGAATGAGGAAGGGGAGGAAAGGGGGGAGGGAGAGGAGGGGAAGAGGAAGAAGGGGAGGAAGCATAGCTGTTTGTATTAAGTATGTGCTGACATGTAAGAGTTTGTGGGTAACTCCCTGATACTCTATGAGGTGTTCTCCCTTCATACAACCTGATGTTTTGCTGAGAACTGAACAGGATGAGTGCTGTGGCTGTATATCCTTGCCCGTGCCTCCTTCCTACCTGAGCCATGGCATTAGTCACCCGAGATCCCCACTTCCACCTGTGTGTGGCATGCATCGTCTGTGTCTATTTTCCCTAAGTGTGAGGAGACAGTTGTATTGGATTAGGGTCCACCCTAGTAACCTCACCTTAACACTGATCTTTTTTGTAAGTAAGGTCACCTTCACAGGGGCCGAGAGTTACAGCTTCAACATCTTGTGGGGGATACTAGTATGTAGTTCAACCCACATGTGACAACACAACACCTTCTCTGTGCAGCCCAGTTCTCACACTTTTGGGTGCCCTTGGATATGAAACGCACAGAATCTTCACCATACAGGAGACCTACAGGTTTCCAGGAAAGAGAGTGTGTGGGCGGGACACACTGTCTGTCACCACCCCGCATCAGTTACACTGGCTGGAACCCTGTCAGGAGGTGCTCTGGTATACTGTAGCTCACAACCATCTCGAACTGCATTTTCAGGGGATCCAACATCCTCTTCTGGCCACCATGGGCATTGCACACATGTGGCACACAGGCATACATGCAGGCAAAACCGTCATACACATAAAATAAAAATAAATAAATATTTCTTTTTAAAACAAGTTTAAATACAACCTGTGCTTTATTACAAGACCCTGTCCAAAAAAAAAAAAGAAAACAAAAAAAAAAAACCTAAAATGCCAACTGGTGGATTACAAACACTATCTGGTGCTCCTCACAGGGTCCTCTTTCCTCTCTCCATGAGGGTGATAAGACAGGCAGGGTCTGCTCCATTTCACTGAGGAGGAGGAGGTTACAGGCATGCCAGGAATACTGTGTGCATTTGTGGATTTCTCAGCATAGCTTAGGAGAATGGAGGCCTGAACCTTGGGTAAATTTCCCAAGTGCCCTAGCGGCAGGCTGCATTTCCAGTCAAATTAGCGTGACTCCTCTAAATACATTTTCCCTTATGTCCCCAACCCAAAAATCTAAAATCCAAACACTCCGAAATCCGGACTTCTTGAATATAAACATGTTGGCACGTGATCAGCCACAGTCACAGTACAGGGCCACTGGTAGGTAACACCATCTAAAATCACCTTCAGGCCAAGTAGTCACCGTGTCCATGAAACAAAAAAGCATTCTAGTGTTCAGACTTGTGTCTCGTGCCCAGATAGGCTTTGGAACATGCAGAGACTCTAAAATCTAAAAGAACAAGAAATCTGAAGCTCCCTCTTACCTGCCCGACACTCCAGTGAGCAGGTCTCAGCCCATAGCTGCTGTCTGCTTAGCTGCCAGGACCTCAGAGCGTCATCACTGAGGAAACAGTAGCTACTGAGACACCTCTTCCAATCTCTCTGCATGCAATTGGCTGAGGAAACTCTTGAGTCTGTGGCATTGGCACCTTCTACTGCTAGGCCAGGGTGTACAAAGCCCGTTGGGCTCCTTCCCTGTTGGGAGAGCACCTCTTAGTAGCCCTTGGGCTTCTCTGAGGAAAGCCAGAGTTCATTCAGAGGGGCAGCATGCAGACCGTCAAGCTCAAGGAAAGGTGGTTCTGGGGAAACTGCAGGACACTTTGCCTTGAGCAGCCTGTGTGTCAGGAGCACAGTAAAGAGGTTGGGCCGTCAGGAGGTCTATGACTGGACAACAATAGGGCTCATCATTCTGTTTTAACCCAGCCCTGTTTGTAAAGTTGGAATTGCTGCTAACAGAGATCTTGGTCTTCCCTGGCATCATCCCCAGCCTCCCTGCCCCTGGGGATACTTGACTTTTCCCTCCTTTAGAAAATCACATCTCCAAACAGAGCCTGTGGAGTGTTTCACAGATGTGACGCCGAATAATTTAAAAGCTGTTTCCTTAAGAATGTCATTATCGTGGGTACCAAAGGCCACTCCTATGTCTGAGGCGTCCCACCATGTAGAGATGGAGAAAGGAGAAAACAGCAGTGAAGCCACACCTGCATGCTCCTGGTTCACGTAGACAGCAGAACAAGGCAGATGCCGACTACGGCCCCGTGTGGGAAAGAGCTGGGATCACAAACTGTTCACCTGCCTTGTCACGTCTCCCGAGAGAAGATGAACGGGCTGGGGACATCACCTGAGCCGTGTGTGTGGATACCCCCTCCTGCCTACCTGTCCTAAAAGCCAGTTCAGGAGCCCTGAAGTCCAGTCAGGCTTCCCGGTTTCCACAACTCAATCCCACAGAAGACAGCTTTCCCCCTTCCCCATGTTTGATGCAGTCTATTTGGGGGTTGGCTGGTTGATTGGGGGATATTTGTCGCAGTATTTATTTGTTGCACACACTTTAAAAAATGTCCGATACCCCCAGCCCTGACAGCTGTTTTTTTGTAAAGGTCAGACCCATCCCAGTTGACATCTGGCAGTTGTCTCTCTGTCCCTCTGAGCATACTGAGAAGCCATACCCACCTTCCCTACCCAGTACTGAGTACCACCCACTAGGCACAAATCCCTCGAGAAGGTGGAACACAGTTGTAAAGGTTCTCTGTGCAGGGCCTGCGGTCACTTGTCAGACTCCTCTCCTAGGACACTTCTGGTATCAGTGGGCAGTAGGGACAGGAAGGCTTCATTGGTAAAGAGGGCC